CCCTGACTGGTTGGGAAGGCGAAGCACATCTAGCTTCATTACTTCCTTCTGCGAGAGTTGCAGTAGCGCGGCCAGGCACTTGTGCGACGTGTGGTCTCTGAGGCCAACACATCAGATATCTTCACCAAGGCGTTGCCGCCTTGTGACCACCAGCGTTTCTGCACCCAACTTGGCCTTGTGTCTACATGCCCTCACTTGCTTGCGTAGAGATGCCTTGTCTTGTACTCTTGCATCTCACTATATATCATATATCTGTGTTTGTGGACTGGCCTTGTGGCCTCTTGCTTGTTCTCGGACTGCGTGGTGATCTTGAGATCCACTCCGAGAGTTGTTTTGTTCTTGTGAACTGGTCTTGTGACAGTTGCTTGTTTGTGCTGACTGGTCTTGTGACCCTTGCTGTGTTTTGCTTTCCACAGGACTCCCGTCACCTAGACTATGGGGGTGTGTCAAGCTATATTTGTTATAGCTTCTGTTGTTAGTCTAGGTGTACTTTCTGTTTGTTAGGGTTAGGGTTAGGTTTCATATATACTTGTTGTATTTTCCCCTTCTAGTCATTCATTCTCATATCTAAACAGCCACTTGCACAGTTGGTGCCACAGGGGCACCTCTGGCCACTTTCCACAAGGAGCCAGGTTCAGGTATTTACACTCTACGTGTTGAGTCTCCTCAAGTAGCTGCGTCAGGTGAGGTAGCTGCTGTGTCGTGCGACTGTCGGTCACTCACCCACTTGTCGCTCCTCTGGCACCATCGTCTCCGTCACCCGTCTTTCCCGCGTCTCAGTCAGATGGCTCGCAATCGTCTGGTCTCAGGTCTCCCAGTGTCACTTGCCCCACTACCCCGCTCGTCTGCGCCGCCGTGTACCCCCTGCGTCGAGGGTTGGCAGCACGCCGCCCCTCTCTCCTCCGAGTTTCCCCCCACCACGACTCCTCTACAGATTTTTCACATGGACGTCTGGGGCCCAGCCCCGGTCCGTGGGCCCCGTCACGAGCGCTACTTCCTGGTCCTGGTCGACGACTACTCCCGCTACACCACGGTGTTTCCCCTGCGACGGAAGGCCGACGTGCCTGACATCCTCGAGCCGTGGCTGCTAGCGACAAGTGGCACCCAGGGCCGTTGTGTGCTCCGTCTACACTCGGACCGTGGTGGTGAGTTTACTTCTGACCGTCTTGACCGGTTCTGTCAGGGTCAGGGGATCACCCTGACTTACACGCTTCCTGGCTCGCCTCAGCAGAATGGGGTCGCTGAGCGACGCATCGGCTTGGTCATGGAGATTGCTCGTACCTCCATGTGCCATGCCAGTGCCCCCTCATTTTCCGTGGCCTCAGTCAGTTCGATACGCCACCCACCAGCTTAACCTGTGGCCCCATACTTCACGTCCACAGGTTACGTCGACCCGCCTTTGGTCTGGATCTCGTGGTGTTGCAGCTGCGTTACGTGTCAGGGGCTCTCTGGCTCACGTCCGTGCCCCTGGCGCGGACAAGCTGTCTGCGGGCACGCGTCCCTGCGTCTTCCTCGGTTTCCCTCTGGACGGCTCTGGCTGGGCGTTCTACGACCCGGTGACTTACCAGTTCTTCGCCTCTCTGGACATCACTTCTGACAAGTCGGTCTGTTACTACAGAAGTCGCCCCCACCGAGGTACTGAGGACTTCTCCCCCCCCCCTGTTCCTCACAGCCGTGCCCCCCCCCTGCTCCTCCGGTAGCCCCGCCACTTCCTCACGTCCAGCTCCTTCAGGTGTGTCGCACATTACCCCGCATTCGTCTCCCCCGCCGCTGTCTCCGCAACGTCCAGTCCTTGTCGTGTCTGGGGGTGCCGGAGGTGCAGTTGCGGAGGGTGCGGGTCCTGGGGATGCTGAGGCTGGTGGTGACGACTCTGGGGGTGCGGGAGGTGTGGGGGCGGAGGCCCCTCCTGTGGAGGACACGGCTGCCTCGCCCAGCCTCACCTTCGGGCTTCGCGTCAGTTCCGCAGTTCCCTCCTCGTTCGTCTCTGCAGCCGGTCGCTGAGGAGTCTGGGGGTGTTCCTGCGGGGGGTACTGGAGGCACTGAGGGTGTTGTTGGTGGAGGTTCTTGTTCTGGGGGTGCTGGAGCTGGAGGCGCTGACCCTGCGGCGCCTGCATAGCCTACCGTACGTTACCTAACTCGTGAGCAGCGTCGTATACAGTTGGAGAGGGAGGAGCAGGAGCGGTTTGCGAGGGAATAGGAGGAGCAGCAGCCGCAGCACCAAGTGCAGTTGCAGCCACAGTAGGAGAGGGTAGGGGAGGAGCCACTGCCGTAGCAGCAGGAGCAGCAGCCGCAGCGGTAGGAGGAGCCGGAGCAGCAGGAGCAGCAGCAGGAGCAAGTGCAGCCGCAGCAGACGCCGGAGGAAGTGGGGCAGCGGCAACAGCGAGAGCTTCCTGACCCCGCACCTGAGCATTTCGTCTGTGGTCCCCTGCCATCTCCTCCCGTGCCTCCTAACGAGTCCCCTTTCCAGTCCCCGTGGTCTCGTCGTTCTCCTCTCGGTCGTGCTGTGTCCCCAGAGTCTCGTTCGTCTCATTACCATGCCGACTGTCTGTTTCACCTTGTTCTCCGCTCTCGTATTCCTCCTCCTCCGGTCCTCCCGTCACCTCCCGTGTCAACCCTTCCTGTACCTCCTGCTCCGGCTTCCGACTCTCGTCGTGCCGCTCGTCCTGACGTCTCCCGTGTTCTCTCTTCGTTGGTCACTCTTCCGACTGCTCCTCCGTCGTCTGTCTCGGCTCTTGTTGCTGCTGTCGGTGACTTTGCCTCTTCCCACCGCCTTGACTACGCCACTCAGTTGGTGAGCGGTCCTGCCCGTTCTCCATCCTTTGAGGGTGCTCCTGTCGTTCCCTAGGAGGTCCTGGAGGACAGGAAGTTCGAGCTGGAGTTCCTTTTGGCCGTTGTTCCTCATCTCTGCGACATTCTGCTTGCCCCTGAGGGGGATCCAGACGCCCTTGACATCTTGATCCCTCGCACTCACGCGGAGGCGGTCTTGGGACCTTGGGCCTCGTACTGGATAGCAGCTAAGGAGGCAAAGATGGCATCTTATAGGTCCACAGGCACCTACGTCGATGCAGCCCTACCACCTAGGACGAACGTCGTTAGTGGCATGTGGATCTACAAGGTGAAGCGGCCGCCTGGAGGACCATTGGTCTTCAAGGCGCGTTACGTGGCGCGAGGGAGTAGACTTCTTTCATACTTTCTCCCCCTCCCCGAAGATGGCCACTCTTCGGGTGTTACTGCACATCGCAGCACAGCGCGACTACGAGCTACACTCCCTGGACTTCTCCACTGCGTTCCTTCAAAGGAGCCTGCACGAGCAGATTTGGCTGCGTCTTCCTGTCGCCTGCTGACCCGTCACTCTTCGTCCGCCGCACTTCGACCCCGTTCTTTATCCTGGTCTACGTCGACGACTTGGTTTTCGCCACTCCCGATAGGAGCGCACTGGCCTCGGTGAAGGCCGAACTGCAGCAGAGGCACTGACCTTGGTGAGCTACGGCACTACCTTGGCCTGCAGATCACCAGGGACAGAGCTGCTCGCACCATTACGCAGACTCACTCGCATATGGTGCAGCAGGTCCTTGATCGGTTTGGCCTTCAGTTCTCCTCCACACAGCCCACCCCTCTTGCTGTGGATCATAAGCTCACGGCTCCACATTCGGACGAGTCATTTGAGCCTAGTGGTCCATACCCCGAGTTGGTGGGTTGTCTCATATACCTGATGACTTGCACTCGCCTAGACCTCGCTTTCCCTCTCAGCATCCTGGCTCGCTTTGTTGTGCCTGGGAGACACCGACCTGCTCACTGGTTGGCTGCTAGGAGGGTAGCGAAGTACCTGGGGAGTACATCAGGCATGGGCCTTGTGCTCGGAGGACGCCAGCCAGTTACACTCACCGGACACTCGGACTCGTCGTACGCTGACGACGCTCAAACGTTGCGGTCTACACAAGGGTACTGCTTCAGCCTCGGGACAGGTGCTGTTTTGTGGAGGTCGACTCGGGCGTCGTCCGTCTCTAGTTCCAGTTGTGAGGCAGAGGTGTACGCTGCGGCCATGGCCGCCCAGGAGCTCCACTGGTTGTCTTTTCTTCTTACCGACCTTGGTGAGCGGCCTCGCTCTCCCCCAGTCTTGTTCGCTGACAACAGGTTTGCTATCCTGTTGTGCGAGGAGCCTCGACTGGTTGGGAAGGCGAAGCACATTCAACTTTGTTACTTCCTTCTGTGCGAGTTGCAGCAGCGTGGCCAGGACCGCGTGGTTCAGGTGGCCTTGGAGGCCAACACAGCGGATATCTTCATCAAGGCGCTGCCGCCTTGTGATCACCATCACTTCTGCATGCAGCTTGGCCTTGTGCATGCAGGTTCTCACTTACTTCCGTAGAGATGTTTTGTTATGTACTCTTGCATCTCTTTCTATATATATATATATCTATATACCTGCATGTGGACTGGCCTTGTGGCCCTTGTTTGCTTTCAGACTGTGTGGTGACTTTGTGATCCACCCTGAGCTGCATCTCTTGCTTTGTTTCTTGTTCTTGCTGACTGGTCTTGTGACCGTTCTTGCTGACTTGTCCTGTGACCCTTGCTCTCAGACTGTGTGGTGACTTCGTGATCCACCCTGAGATGTGTGTTGCTTTCCGCAGGTCTACCGTCACCTAGACTATAAAAGCGTGTCAAACTATATTTCATATAGGTTGTTTAGTTCTAGTCTAAGTGTACTCTTCTTTTGCCCTATGTTTGCTCATATATTCCCTTGTACTCTCATTTCTAGTCATTCTTACATTTTCATATCTTAACACGGCTTGCCGCTTGCTACGATCCCATTCGCGACGTGAGTCGCTTACACGACAGTTGTTTATTTGTCGACCTTTTGGGATTGACTATGCCGAACCTCAACCTCGCTCTCCTGCAACGGTTGTACGCAGAAATTGCCCGACATCGTCCCGGGCGGGCAAGTCGGCACTGGCTTGCTCGCTGTGAGTGTGTTCAACTGGGCGGTGAAACCGATGGAACTCATGCACGGCGGGACCGTTCCTGCGACCGTTGAAAACCCCAAAACTCACGGGTTGAGGGTGCTGCGGAACGGGATGAAGGAGTACATCCAGAGATGCGTCGCTGATGAACATTCGGCGTTGTCGTCCCATACTGGCAGGCCAGCAGCTGACGCACTGGACGACGACGTCGGCGAAACATCGACAGCATCCCAAACAGGCGTGGTCGCCCCCCTGGAGATTGATGCGACAACGATTTTTACAAGCGGGCACAGTGACGGCGTTGGCGGCGCCGAGCACGGTGGCGGAGATGGCGATGCCGTGTTGGGTGCGGGAAAGGGGGGGGGGGGGGGACCGCGAAGGAGAAGAAGTAAGAGGAGGATGAGGAGGAGGAGGAGGAGGAGGAGGAGGAGGAGGAGGAGGAGGAGGAGGAGGAGGAGGAGGAGTTGGAGGTGGACGGGAAGGATAAGGAGCGGGGGAAGGATAAGGGTAAGGCGTCGGACGAGGAGGATCACGGCGGGATGGGGAAGGACGTGGACGTCGATATGGTGAGCGGCGCGAAGGACAACGTTCTATACGTGGATGATGCCGACGTGATGATCGTCGGCGAACGGGGTAACATTGTTGGCACGATGTCGACCGGCGTGGCAGGGCCGAATGGGGCCTCGACCGGCAAGGACGGGGGGGACAAGTCCCAAAAGAAGACGCCGCCTCATGCCTCTGAGAAGCCTCACGGTCTTGCGAGCGATGTTGCAGGGCGGCAGGACGTCGGCCGTCAAGTAGAAGCTGTGGGCGTACAGGCAGACATGGTGCTCCCCACCGCTCACACGGCAACTGATGGCGGTGCAAGAACCAGGCTGGGACCGACTGTCGTGGTCGCGGGGCCATCCGTCGTCGAACAGGCGTCGTCGATTCCCCTGCAGCAACACGCAGTCGAAGTCCCTGCGGCTAGCCGCGCTTCTACTCTCCTGTCTGCCACCCCGGAGCAGGAGGCGATCGCTCAATTGATGAAGGCGGACGTGGCGGCGAATGAGCTCAGGGCCCAGCTCGAGCTCCTTGCGCGTGGCACGGCTGTGCATCCGCCGGCCGCCGACGTTGCTGGTGTCGCCGACGCAGCATGTCGCTCGGGTACTCAGCTCATCAACGTCCCCTCGTTCAGTGCCCCAGCGACAGCGCCCCGCGTCACCGCACATACACCAACGGACCCGATCTCCGCATTGCTTCTCGCCCAGCTTGACGCACGTAGCGCAGCAGCACCACCCCCCCCTCCGCCGACATCGGGCACTAGCGCAACGCCGACCTCGGGACTTAGCGCAACGCCGACCTCGGTGACAGTGGGCAAGGTCACACACCATGCCGCGGCAGCAAAAACGCCAGCACCCCCACCCGTGCGGACTTTTGTTGGGGCGGCGACAGAGAAGGGTGTGCAAGCTACGCTGGCCACCGGCGGCGGCGCGGGTGACATGGAGATAGACCCACCATTGAACGATATCGTCTTCCACGATGAGGATATCGCTGCCATCCAAGCCGACGTGGACGCAGTCGTACTCGCCGAACAGCCATCTGCGCCAGCCATCTCGGCCACCGCACCTGTGGAGGCGAGTCAGGCGGTGGTTCAGCGGGGCCCAAGGATGTTTGGGATGTCGTCGGCGAGGGAAAGGCAAAACGGAAGGGGGAAGGCCGCCGCAGGGAAAGAGAAGGCGAGGTCGGAGAAAGAACGCAAGGGTTATGGAATTAGGGTGGACATGACGGGCGGCGGTAAAGGGTGGCAGGGTGAGATGAAGCTCGGCGGCAAGACAGCAAGATCCTCCTGGACGAGATGACCTGCCAGAAGCCGACATGAAGAGTTGGAAGTCAGAGTGGGAGGAGGCGATGGTTTTACCAACGGGGATGTGGACAGTGATGTGGGCCCGAGGCGTCTTCATGCCTCGAGCACGGTAAGACAACTTCCCATCTCTGCTTGTTCTCCGGAGTAATGTTCGAGTGACTAACACACGCCCGTTGCAATGTCCGTGCAGGTTCCAGAGTGTCCTCGCCGAGTACAGACGTTTGTCGACCTCCGGCGCTGGGCTGCTGACCGTGCTCAGGCCGGCGGTTTGGTTCAGCGTGGAACCCAACGCCAGCAAGCGGCAGGCACTGATGAATGGCATGATAAACCGTGTTTCCATATGCGCGGCGTTTGGGACATTCGCAGCGAGTGCTGCGAAGAAAACGGGTGATGAAGCGTCTCGCGTGGCCCATGCTTTCGCCGCCTCTTCTTGCGCGGTGTGGTGCTTCGCCGAGACCGAGGCCTCGGTGGTCGCTGCAGTGGGCGAATGGAAGGTGGCGGCTGTGCTAGCTGGTGCGAGCAAGGATTTCGGTGGGCTATGTAGCAGCGTCATGACGGCGGTACTGGACGCCGCGCATTCGAGGCAGCCCGACGCTGACCAAGTTCCAAGCAACGTCATGGCGGAGTTGCGGCGTGATGCTCTACATAAGGTCTTTCTGGGTCGCGACCCTAGCGCTGACACTGTTCTAATCGCAAGAGCGACCATCGAGATCCTGGCGTTTTGGGGAATCTGCGGTGTCGGCGGCCCCAAACTCTAGAAGCATGGCATCGTGCCGTTTGACGCACAGATGGCACATTATTTGGGGCACAAGGGAAGGAAGGGGCTGAAAGGGAAGCACAGCATGTCAAACATTGTATATGTTTCTATTCTGTAGGCTATAGTGGGTTTAGCCTTAGGGGGTACAACATTCTAGGTTTTCCTACTTGTACTCCCAATGTTGTTAGTTCATCATCCTTCTCTCATTTTAACATAATATCACAAGCCTAGGTTAGTCACCTAGGACCGACTACTGTTAGGGCCCACCACTGCTACTACTGCCTACTACTTGTGCGCCCTCGTGCGCTTACTGCCTGCGCCCTCGTGCGCCCTGTTGCTAGTTGCGCGCTGCCCACTAGCCTCGCATGCAGCCTCTCGCGGCCCCGTGCAGCCCCGTGTGCCGCCCGCCTGCCTACCCGCGCCCTCGAGCGCCTGCCTACCCGCGCCCTCGAGCGCCTGCCTACTCGCGCCCTTGAGCGCCTGCCTACCCGCGCCCTCGAGCGCCACCCTGCCGCCCTGCCCTGCAGGCCGCGCGCGGGCCTGCTCTGCACCCGAGCAGCCGCCCCTGGACCCTGCGGCGCGGCCCCAGGACCCTGCGACGCGTCGCCCTGCTCGTCGCGACGCCTCTGCGGGACCCGGGCGTCGCCCCTGCCTCGTCGCGACGCCCCTGCGGGACCCGCACGTCGCCCCTGCCTCGTTGCGACGCCCCTACGGGACCCGCGCGTCGCCTCCGCCTCGTCGCGGCGCCTCTGCGGGACCCGCGCGTCGCCCCTGCCTTGTCGCGACGCCCCTGCGGGACCCGCGCGTCGCCCCCCGTCTCGTCGCGACGCCCCTGCGGGACCCGCGCGGAGTCGCCCCTGCCCGCCGCGGCGCCCTGCCCTACCCCGCGCCCGCCCTTGGGACGGCCGCCCCTGGCCCCTGGAGCAGTCGCCCCTGCAGAAGCCGCCCCTGGCCCCTGGAGCAGCCGCCACTGCAGCAGCTGCCCCTGGCCCCTGGAGCAGCCGCCCCTGGCCACCTGGAGCAGCCGCCACTGCAGGAGCCGCCCCTGGCCCCTGGAGCAGCCGCCCCTGCAGCAGCCGCCCCTGGCCCCTGGAGCAGCTGCCGTCGCGGCCCGGCCCCGCCCTGCAGCAACTGCCGCGGAACCTTTAGCTGCAGTCGTGGCCCCGCCCTGCAGCAGCTGCCGCGGAGCTCCCTGCTGCGGCCCGGCCCCGCCCTGCAGCTGTAACGGCCCCGCTGTCGCCGCCGTCTTGCGCCTGCCCTTCCCACCACTGGTGAGCACTGCCCTGCCCGCGCTGCTACTGCTGCTACTGCTTTTACTGCTCCTACTGCTACCACTCCTGCTGCTACTGCTGTTACTGCCGCTACTGCTGCTACTGCTGCTCCTGGCGTGGTCAGATGCAGCTCCGGGGCCGTCCGCGTGAGTCCCTCACGCCCCAGCAGCTTCGTGAGTGGTACGCTCGTTGGGGTTGTCGGGGTGGCCGTAGTGGGAGTCGCTCTGGAGTGGGTAGTTCGGCAGCTTTTGGTAGTGGCCAGGTGCAGCTGCAGCGTCGTCCCCGCGAGGCTCTTTCGCCCCAGCAGCTTCGTGAGTGGTACGCTCAGAGTAGAGGGTCACTGAGTACTGCTCGCTGCCCGTACGTCATTCGCACAGGTGTCCGGACTGGTCAGCCTTGCGGGACACCTAGTCACACAGAGTCCCATTGCTTTGCCCGTCTGAGCGACGCTTGGCGTACAGAGTTTGGCGACGACGCTGAGCTCCCCTCCTGGCTGGAGCTCCTTAGGCAGAGGGTAGATATCTTTGCTCTTGACTATGATGCTATCCTCACTGCCGTGTATGCATTGTCTACTAGTGCTGAGGGTGCCTGTCACCTGTGTGTGCCGCCTGACCCCGGTATCCAGTCTGCTGCTCTTGGTGCTGGTGAGGCTGCCGCTCTAGGTGCTAGTGCGTCTGGTGCCCTAGGTCCTGGTGAGGCTGCTGCCCCAGGTGCTGGTGAGGCTGCTGCTCTAGGTGCTCGTGAGTCTGCGCCCTCTGGTACTGCGTCTATTGAGGCACTTCACACCTTCACACTGGACTCAGGTGCTTCCCGCAGTTTCTTTCGTGACCGCACTGCCCTTGAGCACCTTGCTCGGCCGGTTGCAGTCTCCCTCGCTGACCCCTCTGGGGGTCCGGTCATTGCGACCTCCTCCACTGTCCTCCCTTATCCTGCGGTCCCGTCGGGCACACTGTCAGATCTCTACCTCCCCTCGTTCTCTACGAACTTGGTGGCGGGTCGTGCGCTCCAGGACGAGGGTGTCCACCAGTTCACCCCTGCCTACGAGCGCGTGACACACTGCACGTGTGCTCGGACGGGTCGCCACCTGGCTACCTTCACTCGGCAGCCGGGGTCGGACCTGTACACACTGACCACTGAGTCCCCTCAGGTAGCTGCGTCTGCGTCTGTGTCAGGTCAGCTGTCGGCCCCCTGCTCGTGTTGCTCCCTGTCGCACCAGACCGTCCTCTGGCACCACCGCCTTGGTCACCCGTCAGTGCAGCGCCTTCGTGGCATGCACTCCCGGTACCTTGTCTCTGGTCTTCCCAGGGTTCTCCCTCCCCTCCCACCCTCGCCTGCTCCTCCCTGTCTTCCCTGTGTCGAGGGGCGGCAGCGCGCCACTCCTCACTCCTCCTCTTTTCCGCCAACGACTGCTCCCCTACAGACCCTACACATGGACGTGTGGGGCCCAGCCCGCGTCCGTGGACAGGGTCACGAGAGGTACTTCTTGATAGTTGTTGACGACTACTCGCGCTACACCACGGTCTTCCCCTTGCGCACCAAGGGTGAAGTCCCTGATGTTTTGATCCCTTGGATCCGCGCTGCCCGTCTCCAGCTCAGCGAGAGGTTCCACTCGGACTTTCCTGTCCTGCGTCTGCACTCTGACAGAGGTGGGGAGTTTTCCTCCGACCTCTTGAGGGACTTTTGTCGTGGGGAGGGCATTGAGCAGAGTCGTTCACGCTTTCGGCCTCTCCACAGCAGAATGGGGTTGCTGAGCGCCGCATTGGCTTGGTCATGGAGGTCGCTCGTACCTTCTTGATCCATGCGGCTGCCCCCCCACTTTCTGTGGCCGTTTGCGGTCCGATACGCTGCGCATCAGCTCAACCTCTGGCCCCGTGTCTCCGTTCCGGAGACTTCGCCGACACTGCGTTGGACGGGAGAGGTTGGCGATGCGTCGGTGTTCCGGGTCTGGGGATCTCGTGCTTTTGTCCGCGATACGTCCGCGGACAAGCTCTCCTCCCGCGTTGTTCATTGTGTCTTCCTTGGCTTTGTCCTGGACGCGTCTGGTTGGCAGTTTTACCACGCCACCTCGCGCCGTGTCCTGCCCTCTTAGGACGTCACTTTCGACGAGTCGGTCCCCTACTACCGCCTCTTCCCCTACCGCACTGCCCCGCTTCCCCCCCCGCCTCTCTTCCTCGCACCAGGTGCTGCTGTGGTAGACCCCCTCCCCCCTCAGGGTGCCGCTCCCTCAGGTGTGTCCCAAGTAGACCCGGTTGAGCCTGTCGAGGTATCTGTTGACTCTCGTCCTACTAGGGGTGCTGAGCCTGAGCGTGCGGAGCCAGGGGGTGCGGAGCCTGGGGGTGCGGAGCCTGGGGGTGCTGAGCCTGAGCGTGCGGAGCCTGGGGGTGCTGAGCCTGCGGGTACGGAGTCTGGGGGTGCTGAGCCTGAGGGTGCTGAGTCTGGGGGTGCTGAGCCTGAGAGTGCTACGTCTGAGGGTACTGAGCCTGGGGGTGCTGCGACTGACCGTGCTGCGCCTGGAGGCGCTCCCTCTTCACAGCAGCTGCGGGAGTGGTACTCGCGGTACTGCAGCCTCAGGAGGGGCGCTTCTGGGGCTAGGGGTGCTGCTGGAGCTGGTGCTCGTGGTTCCCCGCCTAGGCGGGAGCCGCCCTCTCCCCAGCGGCTCCGAGAGTGGTACGCTCGGCGCTGCAGTCTCCGGAGTGGCGCTGCTGGTGCTGCGGACCCTGGAGCTGGAGCTGGAGCTGGAGCTGGTGCTGGTGCTGGTGCTGCTGGTGAAGGAGCTGCTGGTGGTGCTGCTGGAGGTGCTGCTGGTGCTGGAGCTGCTGGAGGTGCTGCTGGTGCTGCTGGAGGTGCTACTGGTGCTGGAGCTGCTGGAGGTGCTGCTGGTGCTGGCGCTGCTGGAGGTGCTGCTGGTGCTGGAGCTACTGGAGGTACTGCTGGTGCTGGAGCTGCTGGAGCCGCTGGTTCTGGAGG